TCTTACCCGTTTTGAAGTAGAACAGCTGGGCTGCGGCTGATCAGATTGGGGTATCTTTTTAACATCCGTGAGGCCGTGAAGCTCAATATCTCCTGGAAGGTCTAGGGGAACGGAATCACCTAAGACATCCTCATCTAGATCCTCAGAATCTGTCACGCAGTCTACGCGGTCTGGTGGAAGTTCAACGATGTCGATATGGGTATATTCACTTTCATCAATGTAGACATGATTTTCTGGATCATCTATGTAAGCCTCAAGCTCTTTCAAGGAGCGGAAAGGTTTGGAACTCATAATCTAAAAAAAAAGAAAAAAATATTACATGTGCCATGGTCCCCATTTGGGTATCGGAACACAAAAGGACCCTACAGCCACATTTTTATTATTTTTTGTGTGGCTGTATCTTTTTTGTATGCTTAAGACTCTAGTCTATCCACACTTTATAAACAAAAAACTCTTGTCAAAACTTATCTATCAAAAAATAATAATGAAAATATAGGTATGTAAAAAGGTCAACTTACCAGCCACAAATTTTCACAAAAAGCTAAATATTTCAATATTTACGCCACCAAAATATCGTAAACCAACAAAACCACACACGTGAATGTTCAAGGAACAAAACATAACCTAAACTAACAGAGTTTCATAATATGCGTAGTTGCCAAACGGTACAAAAAGCGAAATCCCCAAATGGGGATCATGGCAGCTAATGGGTTAATTTTGAAAATACTGTTCGTTTTAGGTACCTTTACTCAAACCTCGACTAGATTTAATTTAACTAATACAATACAATCACACTCTAGTGTATATATTTTATTTAATATGGCTAGCCTGTTGACGTTATATTGTGACTGTTTATAGCGGGTTCACCTTAACAAGGTGAATTACAAAGTGTATTTCCAGCGTTAACATATTCATGAGTTAGGAATAGCGGTGGGCTAGCAGAAGTAATCTGTCACTCATACGCAAAGTCTTCAACTTCACGTTCGGTTTTAGTCATTATAAACAGTAATTAAAAAAGCAAAAGCAGAGGTGTACATGCTCTTCTTGTTAGGAAGTTTTATTTCAATAAATATACAGTTTTGGTATACAGAAACCAAAACGGCATCTAAGAGTAAAATATATGAAGTGTTTACAAAAAAATCGAAGTCAAATCTAATTACAGAAATGGATTTGTCCAGAGTGGACCAACAGTCTGGAAACGCGTAATTATATTTTAAATGTATGGTCCAAATTATACAAAAATAGGGATACACCTTTCATTTTAGGATCAAAAAGCATTTTGGGTTATTTAAAAAGTTACTGAATACTGTTTAAAATTTTAAAAATAATTATACACAGGTTTTTAAGTAAAATATCTTAGACTTTTAGGATTATTGAACAAAACGTTTTGGTTTTGTATTAGATAAGAATTTCAAATTAATGTTTTATAGACAATGTCTTTTGTATTAATTTCCTTGAAGGTAATGGTACGACCCAGACGTTGTTTTTACAAATACGGATTTGCTTCCAAACACAAAAGAAATTATTATTCAGATTATCTTCTATAAATTTAGAAAAAACCCAAGAGGGTACAATACGCTTGATTTCTTAAAAATTAAATTAGGGATTTTCGGAAAATAGATCTCTTCTTTGTCAACAATTTTCCATCCACTCCTGAATGTAGGTCTCTCCCAATTGCTTCCATCTTTGTCCATCTTGCGCCAATCTATTCCACTGTTTGCCTGCCACTGCTCTTATGTCATCTAACCATCTTTTTTGAGGTCTTCCCATGCTTCTTGTTGTCGTCCTCGGTCTCCATTCTAGAATTCTCCGTGTCCACCTGTTGTCATTATATCGGGCTACATGACCTGCCCAGCGCCATTTTATTTTTGTAATTTCTTCCACAATATCCCTAATCTTAGTTCTACGTCTTATCTCGGTGTTTCTAATCTTGTCTCTTAGTGATATTCCAAGCATGATTCGTTCCATTGCTCTTTGCGTTGTTTCTAATTTTTTGGCAGATTTTTGGTAAGTGCTACTGTCTCCAAGCCGTAGGTACAAACAGGTAGTATGCATGTGTTATACACCTTTTTCTTTAAGTTTATAGCAATGGAGGTGTTTTTCAAGATATGTGCTAGTTTGCCGAAAGTGCCCAAAGCCAGTTGTGTTCTTCTTTTAATTTCAACATCTTGATTTGGTTTTCCTAGTTTGATAACATGACCTAGATATACATAATGTTCCACATTTTCTATGGTATGATTTTGTATTGTTATATTTGTCTGGTCTCGGCTCAGTATTTTTGTTTTGCTGTAATTCATTTTTAAGCCTATCGCTCCTGAAACTGCATTTAATTGTTGTAACATATCATTTCGTTCTTGGATATTATCGGCTATTAAAACTATGTCATCTGCGAATCTCAAGTGGTTTAAGTATGATCCGTCGACGTTGATACCCTTATTGTTCCATTCCAGTTTCTTAAAAATATCTTCTAGAGCAAGGGTAAATAGTTTGGAAGAGATGGTGTCTCCTTGTCTTACTCCCCGTTGTAGTCTTAGGGCGAGCGCCCACCAAAGTGGCGTGGCAGTGGCAAGTAGCAAGTAGCACGCGTCTAACATAATGTAACCAATGAAAACGAATGATTCAGTTTACACCAAAATGACAGTAACGTCATTCATTCTAATCATTCGTTAGGATTGGTTACATTATGCTAGACGCGTGCTACTTGCTACTTGCCACTGCCACGCCACTTTGGTGGGCGCTCTCCCTTATGGGATTAGTTTTTGTGCTTTCGTCCAGCTTTATATGCATGGTGGCATTTTCATATATGTTTTTACTTATGTTAATGTATCTTGAATCTATGCGTGCATTTTCTAGAGATTCAAGCACTGCCCATAATTCGATGGAATCGAATGCTTTATGGAAATCGACGAACGCCATATGAATTGGAACATTATACTCGGTGCATATTTCTCGGAAAATAGATAGGAGGAATAAATTTGTATGATTGGCTATGAGAAACGAGGGAAGGAGAATAGATAGTCGATTTTAAAATTGAACGAGAAAATTTCGAATATTGTGTTTTTACCAGCCAGAACGAGCAGTCTATTTTGAAAACTTCTTCTTCTTAGGGTGCCTGTCCGTTCCGAATGTTGGTGATCATTCTGGCTATGATGATTTTGTTGGTTGCTATACGAAATAGCTGTGTTGAGGTCTTTCTATACCATGCTCTCAGGTTAGCAAGCCAGGATATTCTTCTTCGTCCTGGGGCTCTTTTTCCTTCAATTTTACCCTGCAAAATGCATTGGAGTAGCTCGTATCTGCCTTGATTTCTCATTATATGTCCCAAGTACTCCAATGGCTCGTCACAATGTTGCTGATTTTGAAAACAGTGTGTTAAAAGATAAGTACAAGTTGTGTTGTTTTGTGGGTTAAGTTGGTGATTGCAGAATAGTGAAAGGCGAACCGAGACCAAGTCGAGAATTCCAAACTCCTTGTGCCCGAAGAGATTTAAAATTTTGTAAGTAAAGAAAAGAAAAATTATATAAGATTTCACGAGACACCCAGTCAAGGCGAAAAAACTTTTGGGCTGAAAAAGTGCCATTGTTATTTTGAAACGAGTGGGAGATTTGATTTGTCTAGAGAATCTGAACGAGTTCTGTTTCCCGTAATAGTTTTGAAAGGAGGAAGCAATGAAACACGTGATTGATTTAAAGAGTAGGGTTTCACAGGTAAAAATAAACTCAGTTAAAAGTAAAATTAAAATCAGATAATTGAAACAGATTAGAAAATTGTTTTCTTTTAAGAAATAATAATTAGAGCAATTTTCACATTAAATTAAATAGATTTGGTTAAAAGGAGATAATTAAATTAAGATTTCTTTTGTTTGAAGATTAGATAAGAAATTGTGCACGGTCTTTTGTCATTTTGTCATTTGTGTTAATTATACTAATTCTTGTCTACCCTGAGGAAAGCAAGCATTAAAGAAATACTACTTCTCTTCTTAAAGTGATGACTTCCTACGGAGGTTGACAATCATAATGGCTCTTTTTATTGTTGAACTTGCTGCTCTAAACAAATCAATCGATCTGCGTTGATACCAATCACGTAGATTCTTCAACCATGAGTCCTGCCTTCGGCCAAGAGATCTTCTTCCTTGAATCTACCCTATATTATGATTCTCAAAATTTCATATTTTGGTCCCCTCATCACGTGGCCTAGGTATTTCAGTTTTCTGGTTTGTATAGTGGTGATTAGTTCTATTTCTTCACCAACCCTCTCCAGTACCTCTTTGTTTGTAATTCTATCAGTCCATGATATTTTTAATATATATCGCACCTCAGCAACAACACTGTCATAAGTCAAAAATTGCCAATTTGAGTAAATCGGGTATGAAGATTATCCTTACTAATTAATGTTGGATTATTTCTATAAATTGAATGAAAGTTTTGTTATTTTTACTTCAATAAGATTAATTTAGGTTGTTTTACCAATAAGTATTGAGCATTGTAGAAATTTGAAACTAACATATTAATTATTAACAAATGTGTCTATATTGCTGAAAACCCAAAGCTGTTTTCCTTCCAAAACCACAAAATTGTGATAGGATATTCTTCTGTTTTTCAATCAAGGAGGGCATGTTGTCCCTTTTATTTTGCTTATAACCAACAATCAAAAATTTTAAGTGATCAAAGGAATATCGGGTTTGCTTACTATTTAAAGTAGTAATGAAGTTGTAAATTTGTTTTTGTTCTCACCATAGCAATTGTCGCAGTAAAATACAACAGGAAGGCCTTTAGAGCATTCATTTTTAAGAAATGAGTACAATCATGATTCTATCTCGTTAGATGCACAGTTACCTTCTCCTTCGTGCCAAATGTAGGAGAAACCATTCAATAATTTATTGTAAGCCAAATATAGTAAAGTTATTCGTACTTAACTTTGATTTACAGTTAAAGGAGTTAATGCCCCACAAGGTGTGTGGAGAACTGCCTGTAAATCAAAAGAGACCGTAATACACTCACGTGCTTTGCTTCTTTGCTTATCTTTATCTTTTTAGTATGTGACAGATCTTTTTCCTTTAAATGACGATCACAATTTTTCTGTAAATTGACCTTACTCTTTGTATTTTTATACTCTGTACACATACTGCACTGTTCTTTGCAATCTTTCCAATGCAGGATGGAAAAATGAGATATAAAAATTCTTGAGAACATGATGACATTCTGATAACTTTTATTTTCTCCCATACAAATGGTTTTATAATCTATAGATGTCAGCTATTTGCTGATAGCTGTCTCTATAGATGTATTTTGACTGATTAGTCATTCTTCTATGACAAATTCACAAAAACCCCTTTTTTAATAAACAGAAAACACACCACAATGTGACTTTTAGAATAATGTGACAGTGTTGTTGTCAAGACCCATCGCTATTAGTAAATAATAGTAGTATAGCTCACTTAATTTGAAAACAATATTTATCTAAAAATTACTGCAATACTGTCATAAGTGAGTTGTTACACTATTGTTGAATAGAGTTCTACAAAAGTGGATATAGCTATAATGGACATAAGTCGCCATCTAGAGCTTATATGACAAAATATCTTTTTGACAGTGATGCTGACGAAAGTTTAACAAAATACTTATTTATTACAACAAAAATAAAAAAATACTGAATTTCAAATTGTGACAGTGTTGTTGCTGATGTGCGATATAATCAGAGATCGAAAGCCCCGATTCGCTTTAAATTGCATTTTTTGAATGTCCAAGTCTCAGCTCCATATAATAATATGATCAAAGTTCCCAAGTACTGATATTTTTCTACTTGTTCTATCACGTTACCCTTGATTGTAAATAGGTGATGTATATTTTGTGGTCTTTTTTTAGTTAGCTTGTAGTTCGTTTTTTTAGCGTTTATAGTAATTTCTATTTCAGCACTATTCATACTTAAGCTTTCAATAAGATGTTGTAGATCTTCTATACTCGTTGCTATAATCACAGTGTCGTCTGCATATCGTTACACATGCGTGTAAGTTGTTAATTAATTTTCCGTTAACGGTAACTCCCGCTTTGATATTATTGAGCGTGTTTTGGAAAATTTCTTCAGAATATAAGTTAAACAAAAGCGGCGATAAAACACATCCCTGTCTAGCTCCTCTACTACTTCATGTCTTCTGAGTGTTGCCCATCAATTTAAACTATGGTACTTTGGTTCCAATATATAATGTTTGCACTATGTTTATGATTTTACTGTGAATGCGCTTGTTCATAAGTATTGATATTAGTTTTTCATGTGTTACTTTGTCGAAAGCGTTTTCCTAGTCAACAAAGCACAAGTGTAGATAAACGTTAAGCGTCACCGCTGAATCAATATGTTGATGATAAATACTCCTTCTCGAATACCCATTCCATTTCGGAACCCGAAATGAGTCTCACTAATATCCTTCTCTAGCCTTTCGCATATTCTCTTATGTATTACTTTCAGTAGTACTTTTAAAGTATGACTTATAAGGTTCAGTGTTCGATAATCAGAGCACTCTTTTGCTACTTGTTTTTTAGAGATGGTTATAAATGCTGACTTCAGCCACTCTTGTGGTATTATTCCCGTCTCGTACAGCGTTTTGAATAAATCTGCCAATATTTCCAAGTTATCCTCTTCCACTAGTTGAAACAGTTCTACTGGTATTTCATCTAATCCAGCTGCCTTATTGCCTTTAAAGTTTTTGATAACATATTTGATTTCATCTATCGTAATCTTCTGTCTCTCTAAAGAAAGAAGAAGAAAGAAATACTAGAAGCCACGAATTAAAGATAATTTTCATGCTGTATCATTAATCATTATGATCATGGATTATTCTTTCATTCATTCTTTCTTTAAGTTGTTTATGTGTACTTCCTTTCCTTGTCTCATTATTTTTTTCAGCACCTCAAAATAAGCAATTCTGCCAATCCATGACATACACAGAATTCGTCTGTATAACCACATTTCAAAATTGTCATTAATTGCCATTAATGATTTGAAGACTCGAGTGGATAAAGGAGGTAACTAACATTTTTTGAAAAATAGATTTTTCCACATGGTTGAAAGGGGCAAGTGACAATCTAGCCTATAGCACCGACTTCAACGCAAAAATATAAAGAAATAGACAATTTTCAAAATCATAAAAGGGGTAAGAGACATTATTTTAATTAAAGCACACGGATAAAAAAGGTAACTGCAGTAGTTGCCCCCTTAATTCACTAAAATTTGTAGATGCCTCTCTTATCCACTAGATGACACTATGTTGACTTCAGTTGTCTCCTTTATCCATAACAAAATGTATTAATACGAAAAGAAGCCTGCACTTTAAAAGAAATATTTTTTCTTAAAAAGTTTATGTTAGTTTAGTGGCGTGTTAAATTTACAGTGATAATGTCGTCCAGAAGTAATTTAATGTTGAAAATGGCATTGGAGTTGTATTGGAGTTGTCTGGTAAGTAGTAGAATAAGCTATTTACTGAGTGCTGGTATACATAACCTGACATTTCAGAAAACCTGCATGAAGTATCTGAGCAACCGTTGAATGCTTCTAGAGTATCGGATTTAAAAAGTAATTTTTACTGCATTTAGATGTGTTCGAGTATAATTTATTGTTGTTTATTGTAGAATTAGATGTTAGTATTGGAGCACTTACCTCTGGTGCATCAGATACAACTGTGTGTGAATCCGTAGCTGCTGAAACACACAATACATTGGACAACCCAGAATCTAACACAAATTTAGGTGAAATTATAAGTTGTTTGCAGCAACATACAGGGTATAGCAATATTGAAGAAAGTATGATGCATGAGACCTCAAAACATTATTTTCTGTCATTTAATACTTATTATTTATTGCAGATGTTTTCGCCGAATTGGAAAATGACCCATTCAGGGCCAGCGATGAAAGTGATGAGTATTTACCCAGTTCTAGAGATACGACGGACACAGATTCCGACAATGATTGTATACCAAAAAGACTGAAGATAAATACTTTATCAACTCTTCAACAAAATGAAAACAACAAGGAAAACGTTTTTAATGATTTATCTAAAAAGAAACAAAAAGAATTTAAAAAAGTAGAAACAAAAGCAAGAAAGAGATCTAGTGATCCAAATTTATGGAAAAGAAATACAGCAAGTACTGCTAGACAGCTAGGTCAATCGTAAATAAATCAAAAAGGAAAAATAATACAATGTAAAAGTGTAAATGTTGGTTTGCTTTGTAGTCAAAAATGCAAAAAGAAATGCAATGATAAAATTAATTTAGAACAAAGAACAAAAATATTTTCTGCCTACTACCAACTGGCAACTGAAGACATGAAAAATATATATCTCTTTAAGGGTATGAGTTTTAAGAAACCAGCAAGGCCAAATAAAAATGCAGTTCGTAGCAAATCTGCATCTTTTATTTATAAAATTTGCATTGATACTACAGAAACATTTGTTTGTAAAAAAGCATTCTGTTCTCTGTTTCAAATTGGCAAAAAAAAAGATAGAAAACTTACAACGAGAACTAAAGGACGGACTGCAAATTCCTAGTGTTTGCAAAAGAGGGAAGCATGAAAATAGGCCACACAAAATTGCAGAAGACGTAAAATTATATATTATGGATCATATTAGCTCGTTTCCTGCTACCCAGTCACATTACTCCAGAAACAAAAACCCGAATAAACAATATCTTGCCTGTACATTAAATATATCAAAAATGTACAAACTATATCTTGAAAAATGCACTGAGGAAGATAAACAGTCTCGTTTTCACGTAAAATACTGTACCTATAGCAACATATTCTCTAAACAATTTAATTTATCATTTGGTGAACCTCGCAGTGACACTTGTAGTACTTGCGACAGTGGAAACGCTAATGAGCAACATAAGGAAAATTACGAGGCATTTTTCTATACAACGTGCAGATCGTGAGTATGCAAAAAACGAAGATGGAGTATGTTATCTAACTATGGATATGCAACAAACACTTCCCCTTCCTAAATTAACAACTAGTAAGGCTTTTTATCTTCGTCAGATGTGGATGTATAATTTAGGGATACATTCAATTACAAAACTTTCAGAAAAGGCTAACTTTTTTACATGGACTGAGGACATGGCTCTTAGAGGAAGCTCTGAAGTATGTAGTTCATTACTAACCATGTTAGAGTACAATAATATTTTTCAAGATAATGCTATATCTCATCTGATAATATGGACCGACTCTTGCGCAGGTCAAAATAAAAACTTCTTGATCATATGTCTCTATCAGTACCTTATACTAAAAGAAATTGTAAAAACTATTGACCATAAATTTCCTGAGGTTGGACATAGTTTTTTAGACTTCGACAGAGATTTCGGACGTATCGAAAAAGTATTACGTCGACATGAAAATATATTTTTACCTGAGGAATATAGAACCATAATTACCCAAGCAAGTAAAATGAATCATGTTACAGACATGCGTATACACTTTCGAAAATTTGACGATTTGGCACGGAATTTAAATTTAATTAATCGCAAGAAAAATACTTTAAATGAAACTGTCCCATTTCGAGATGGAATAAAATGGATTCGTGTTTGTAATTATGGATCCTATTTATATAAAGAGAGCTATGATTCAAACACACCTTTTAAAGAGTTAAATATAATTAGGAACTCGCGTCAGACCCAACCAGTTGATTGCGAGATTGAAAGAATTAGGGAAAAAACTGGCCGGTTATCAACTGAAAAAGTGGCAAATCTCAAGAGTCAGCTTCAATTTGTCAAGCAACCGCATAAATGGTATTATAATGCGATTATTACCGAAAATGAACAGAATAATAACTAATAAATTAAAATTTTTTTATTGAAAACATGTTACCACTGGGCGTTTTAAACAGAAAATTATTTGTTTTACAAATAGAATTAACTTTTTTTTAATAAAATGTATGTATTCAGCTCGTTTATTTTATTTTACCTTGACTTAACCCCTTTAAAAGAAAACTAGTATCTAGTTATAGTAAAAAAATTTCAGTGGATAAAGGAGGTAAGTGTAGTTTTTTCAAAATTTTGGGTTTTTAAAACAAAAAGCGAATTAACAAAGTAGCACACATAAAATGTACCATTAATATCTACTCACCGAAAACATTTAAAACAAAA